AACGGATAAAGAGGCTACGGCACAAATGTACAATGGAATATTACTCAGCCACTACATCTGAGTCAGTTCGAATGATGCAGATGAACCTACAGCCAATTATACAGAGTGAAGTAAGTCAGAAAGAGAAAAACAGATATCATATACTAACACATATATATGGAATCTACAAAGATGGAAGGGCTTCCCTGGTGGCTTAGAGGGTAAAGCGTCCGCCTGCAATACAGGAGACCCAGGTTCAATCCCTGAGTTAGGAAGATCCCCTGGAGAAGGCAATGGCAACCCACTCTAGTACTCCTGCCTGGAAAATCCCATGGACGGAGGAGCCTGGGAGGCTGCAGTCCATGGGGTCGCAAAGATGGAACTGAAGAACCTATCGCAGGGCAGCAGTGGAGACAGACACAGAGAACAGCCTGTGGACACAGCAGGGGAAGGAGCGCGTGGGATGAATTAAGAGAGCAGCATGGGAACACATACACCACCGTGTGAAAACAGGGAACCAGTGGAGGTTTGCTGTATGACATAAGGAGCTCAAACGCAGGGTTTCGTAGGTAACTCAGAGGGGTGGGACAGGGTAGGAGGCAGGTTCAAAGACTGAGGGGACACTGATGTATGGCAGAAACTAACATAATATTGTAAAGCAATTATCCTCCAGTTAAAAATAATTTTTTTAAAAAACACATTCAAAAATAAACAAAATAGAAAATAAAAAACACATTCATATGGTATTTGCTAAAGTCATCTAAAATTACAGATATTATCAATAAATACATGTATAACATTCTAAAACATTTGTCAGTTTTTACTAACAGGAAAATATTCCCAAAACCTTTTAACTTGATCTGCAGAATCAACAATTTAATTGCTATGTTTATGAGTAGAAAAGAAAAAAAATACCAGGAAAATTCATCAATTATGAAAGTTCTATCCTAGGCCTTTGAAACTTTATCCTACATTTTTAAGTTGTTAATTCACTAAAACTGTAATACAGTCCACAGCAGAGCTTATCAAATACCAATGAGTCTTTAATTTACTGAGTGAATCAAGATCAAATATTTATTTAACATAATAGTATAGAATAGAAAATTGCTTCATGAAACTTTTACTTCTATTTCATGTATACATGAAAAGCCATTCTCTACGAAAAGTCATTCTCTACTATACTACTCCATAACACCATTCCACCAGAAGAGGCTAAAAGAGGACACACACCCCGCCACAGCACAGTCTTAAGCACAGGAAACGGTTACTCACTGAACTGCAGTGAGGCTCAGATGCAATTACTCTGAAAAATTACTTGGGACGAACAGAAACTCAGAGAACAGACTCACATACACAGCGCAGGCGGGAGGGCAGGAGAGGGTGAGAGAACTGAGAGAGCAGTACTGAAATGCATACATTTACCAGGTGTAAACAGACAGCTAACAGGAAGGTGCTGCATAGCGCAGGGAGGTCAGCCCAGGGCTCTGTGACGCCTAGAGGGCTGGGACGGGATGGGGGGTGGGAGGGAGGTTCAGGAGGGAGGGGACATGTATGTGTACCCACAGCTGATTCACACTGATGCATGGCAGAAACTAACGCAGCCCTGTAAAGCAATTATCGGTCCATTAAAAATAAATTTTTTAAAAAAGAAAAATATATAAAAATGTTTTAATTAGGATGAAAAAGATTTAAACTATTTTATTACTTCTACCAGATTATTTCTTCATATATAACTAATTCATAATTCACAAACCATAAAAATCTGAAGCAAACATCTAATCTATCATAAATTAACAGGTTCCAAAACACATCACATTCTAGGAAAGATTTACATAATTAGTCTCAAAGCTGTAAATATTAGATAAATTCATAGAACTTAAGTGGCATATTAAATCTTGCTCCTTAAAGAACTCTTTGGAAGTGGCTGTCACTCAGTCGTGTCCAACTCTTTGCAACCCCATGGACTAGAGCCTGCCAGGTTCCACTGTCCATGGGATTTTCCAGGCAATACTGGACTGGGTTGCCATTTCCTTCTCCAGATCTTCCTGACCCAGGGATTGAACCCGGGTCTCCCGCATTGTAGGCACTGTAGGCAGACGCTTTACCATCTGAGACACCAGGGAGGTCCAAAGAACTCTTTCAGCTCAGTCGTGTCCGACTCTCTGCGACCCCATCAATCGCAGCACGCCAGGCCTACCTGTCCATCACCAGCTCCCGGAGTTTACTCAAACTCATGTTCATCAAGGCGGTGATGCCATCCAGCCATCTCATCCTCTGTCGTCCCCTTCTCCTCCTGCCCCCAAGCCCTCCCAGCATCAGGGTCTTTTCCAACGAGTCAGCTCTTCACATCAGGTGGCTAAAGTATAGGAGTTTCAGCTTCAGCATCAGTCCTTCCAATGAACACCCAGGATGGATCTCCTTTAGGATGGAATGGTTGGACCTCCTTGTAGTCCAAGGGACTCTCAAGAGTCTTCTCCAACCACAGTTCAAAAACATCAATTATTTGGCACTCAACTTGCTGTATGGTCCAACTCTCACATCCATACATGACTACTGGAAAACCATAGCCTTGACTAGATGGACTTTTGTCGGCAAAGTGTAATGACTCTGCTTTTTAATGTGCCGTCAAGGTTTGTCTTTTCTTCCAAGGAACAAGCATCTTTGAATTTCATGACTGCAGTCACCATCTGCAGTGATTTTGGAACCCCCAAAAATAAAGCCTGTCACTGTTTCCACTATTTCCCCATCTATTTCCCATGAAGTGATGGGACCGGATGCCATGATCCTAGTTTTCTGAATGTCGAGCTTTAAGACAACTTTTTCACTCTCCTCTTTCACTTTCATCAAGAGGTTCTTTCGTTCCTCTTCACTTTCTGCCATAAGGGTGGTGTCATCTGCATATCTGAGGTTATTGATATTTCTCCTGGCAATCTTGATTCCAGCTTGTGCTTCTTCCAGCCAAGCATTTCTCATGATGTACTCTGCATATAAGTTAAGCAGGGTGACAATATACAGCCTTGATGTACTCCTTTTCCTATTTGGAATCAGTCTGTTGTTTCATGTCCAGTTCTAACTGTTGCTTCCTGACCTGCATACACATTTCTCCAGAGGCAGGTCAGGTGGTGGTTAGTTTCCCTCTATTTCAATCATAAATATGACCTTATTCTACTATAAGGTATGTACCATGGCACTCCGCTCAGCTGGCACCTATTTGTGTTACATCATATTTAAATATATAACAAATTTAATCCATTTCTTAATAAATATATAGACTTTTTAAAATGTTTCACTGTAAAGTATAATTTGCTGAGAAATTTCTAATCACAAAAAAATCACACCATGTCTATAAAATTTATAGTTTACCCTAAAGATTACCTTGTTTTAATAGACTTAATAACTGTATAAAATGTTTTGCTAGTGAGTAATCCTGTAGATAGCAGAAACTTGTTACTGCACAATTAGCCTTTGCAGGTAAAACAGGCGCCCTTATAAATTGAAGCATTCTTAATGTGTAAATTGGATTGACAAACCCAGTACTATTTAGGACAGACTTTCCAAATTTCTTCTAGTACTGAGTTTTCAGTTAATCCATATATAATGTCTAAATTTAGGGATATACATGTTATTTCTGATTTAATCTGAGATCAGACTTAAATCTAGGACTTCACTGATATTCTGCTTTTACTAGGAAGTATTGGACTACACCTCAATTCTGAATTTAAAAAACTGTTCTGACAAAGTTCTTAAAGGGAATTATTAATAATTAATTCTTTTTTTCAACAAATGTTTGCCAAGGGCACTGTGTGTAGAGTGGTAAATGTGCATAGCTTCTGCCCTCAAGGAGAGGCTCCCTTATTCGAGGTCTAGCAGAGTACAGTTGATTGGCATGGAAAACCAGAAAGATAATAAGGCAGCAGGGCTTCAGGGAATCCAGGCTTCAGTCCCAGGTCCACTGTCTGCCAAACATTAGCCAAGTTTCTTAATCTCTCTAAGACTTAATCTCTTCCTTTACAAAATGAAAATTAAACAAAAAGTTCAATATCAACAACTCCCACAAAGTTACTGCAAGGGTTAAATATAAAAACACAAAAAGTGCCCAGGACAACAGTGGTAATATTACTAAATATTCAAAACATTCACAAATTCAGGGACTGGCACATAGAATCCATTCAATAGTCACTCTGAGACACTTAAACACCATTTCCAAAGAAAGTGAATCAACCAGAAAATACATGATACTTTATTTAAACCAACTACTGTGCCTAATATAGGTAGTTACCATCTTTTTCTTCATTTTATACTCCTTAACTTGGAGTTGCATTTAAAAGATATTTTAAAATATGTAAGCATTTCACCTAGTAACATAAAAGAGGAATTAAAAGTTAATTTTTAAAAGCTCATGCTAACCCAAACTGCATACTGTTGTTAAATAAAGCAAGTGAAAGTTGCTCAGTCGTGTCCAACTCTTTATGACCCCATGGACTATACATTCCATGGAATTCTCCAGGCCAGAATACTGGGAGTGTGTAGCTGTTCCCTTCTCCAGGGGATCTTCCCAACCCAGGGATCGAACCCAGGTCTCCCACATTGCAGGCAGATTCTTTACCAGCTGAGCCACAAGGGAAGTCCAAGAATACTGGAGTGGATAGGCTATCCCTTCTCCAGAGGATCTTCCCATCCTAGGAATCGAACCAGACTCTCCTGTATTGCAGGCGGATTCTTTAACAACTGAGCTATCAGGGAAGCTCCTACATAAAGCAAATTTAGTACAAAATTTAAGTAACAAAAGAATAAAGAAATAAAATGGCTGGTGAAAGAGGTTCAGGCACTTATTAAAACACCCAAAGTTAATTTGTACACTATAGCCATAGCACTCTAGTTCATGAACCCAAATATTCACGGATACATTAAAAAATGACTTATTCCCTGAGTATTACTTTTAACATAAAAATCTTTCAAAGTGATGCTGCAAAAAAGCACATTAACACATGCAAAACCACTTTACAGACGCTAAAATTTACCTGCTTGAGTCCTTCATCAGTGAGTTTGTCCTGGTTGCCTACATGAACTTTCTGAAGTAAAGGACAGTGAGAGGCAACTGCAATAATAGAGGTGTCAGAAAGCTGTTTACACCTGTAAGCTGTATACCTAAGAAGTCCAGGACATTTAAATGCTAGAACACATACGCCAGTATCAGACATACTGCGACAATCAGAAATGTTGATTTCAATTATATTTTGACTTCTTGATGCAATTTTTTCCAATAATTCATCAGTGACCTATGAGAGGGGAGAAAAAAAGCAATAAATTTAAAGCTTTGCTAAAAATGGAAGCTTACTTTCTATTCTTTTATTAAATTTTTTCTAATATATAACAGATTATAGCATGAAAAACACAATCAAAAAGAAAAACTTCTTAATATTAAAGCATAATGAGAACTGTCATGTGATTTTAAAAATATATTTGATCTTTTTTCTCCAGTTCCTAGAACAGAGCTCCTAAAGTCCTAGGAATTTCCTGAGTGATGGGAATGTCTTTTGTTTTCTTTAACTAGCCCCTTGTGACCATGCCTGAGTTTAAAGTAATGAAATGACTTAAGCTGGGGCCTCCAGAGAGCTTTAGGATGGGAGCTGGTCACCAGAAAGATCAGACACCGTGTGATTAGAGTACGGAAACTTCCAGTCCCATAGTCTGACTTTCTGGGAAGGGAGGACAGCTGGAGGTGGGTTATAAAAACTCTTAACAATGAAATCTGGAGGGCTTCTGAGTTGGTAAATATTAAAGTGCTGTGAAGGTGATGTGGCTTTAGGGACAGGGAAGCTCCATATCCTCTCTCCTGAAACCTTGCCCCAGGCATCTTTTCCATTTGTCTGGTTTTGGGGTATATCCTCTACACTAAACCAGTAAACATGAGTATTTTCCTGAGTTCTGATCACTTTAGCAAATTATCACCTTGAGCAGGGGACATGGGGAACTTCTAGTTTTAAAGATGGTCAGTCAGAAGTATAGGTGACTCCAGACTTCCCTGGTGGCTCAGAAGGTAAAGCATCTGCCTACAATGCAGGAGACCCGGGTTCGATCCCTGGGTCGGGAAGATCCTCTGGAGAAGGGGATGGCAGCCCACTCCAGTTCTCTTGCCTGGAAAATCCCATGGACGGAGGAGTGTGGTAGGCTACAGTCCATGGGATCACAGAGAGTGGGACACAACTGGGCGACTTCACTTTCACTTTCAGGACTTGTGACGGGTATATTAAGTGGGGACAGTCATGGGACTGAGCCCTTAAACTGTAAGGTCTGTACTAACTCCAGGAGTTAGTGTCAGAATTGAACTGAATTGGTGGAATACCAAGTTAGCATCAGAGAATTTGTCAGCATAGAAAAAAGCAAACATTTGGTGTCAGAAACACCAAGTGATAATATAATGTCCTGGTTTTCAATGAAAGCTTAAAAGTCTATCCTTATTAGGAAAACACACTTTAATTAAACCTTTAAACTCACCAAAAACTCCCCAGAAAAAAAACTATTAAAATTTTGAGTTGGTTCTTAACCCAACAAATGGTATGTATCAGTCAACATGATGCATGAATCTTGACTTTTTACACATAATATTAGATGATACCTACCACAGTATATAAATTTCAATTGCTTTACTACTTCTATCAGAATACATTACATATAATTAAATCCACAGCTTACACAATATATCATCCTGGGTATTAGGACACCAAAGACTATATACAAAGGCCATTTACAAAAAAAAAAAAAAGCTTATCTCAGAAGACTCAAAGCTAAATATAAGTAATCTTAAAATTCATCTAGTGAAAAACTCACAGGACCATCTCAATTTTTTAAACAATTTTTAAAAGCAACCTCCGCACATTCCCTGCCCAATCATATTTCAAAAAAAAAATAAAACAGAGTTAACATTATTCAAAGTCTTTTGAGTAAAAATAATGATGAGAGAAAATACACATGACTAAATTTAGGAAGAAGAAAAGAATTGGGGAGTGTTGAGGGAGGGGGTCGCAAAGAGTCGGACAGGCCTGAGCGACTGAACTGAACTGACTGAGGGTTACAAGGAGTAAGAACCAAGGCTGAAACCCCCTTTGTTTCTTTTTTTTTTTTCTTTGTTTCTACTTGTTGGAAACAGTGTACCTCTTTCTCTGTTTTCTTTCCTTTTTTTTTTAAACCTCCAAACCTACCAGGAGAGGAGAAAAGCTATTCTGACTCTGAGTTTGGAACAAAAAGCTCCCATATTCAAGACTAAGGAAGTTAAAACCCAATGGATTACTTCACATTACCTCTCTCCACACTCTCAGCCACAACTAACTAAATATTCACCATCCCCCCTGGATACAAACTTCATGAACTCAGGCAGGTAAACATCTTATAACTATCTTAACCCTTACCAATGAGGCAGGAAAACAAAAAGGAAACTTAAAAACAAATGCTCAGAAACTAATGTATTTTGTTTACAGTACATGTTATAAACAGACACATATGCTACCAGTGGTATGTTGGAGTTGGTTTGTACCAAATCAGAATCTAGAATATGTACCACTTTCCATATCAGTGATAGCATTACATTCTATAACATCACACTGGTAGTTTGAAATTGGTCGTGGTGAGAGTATTTGTACCACAAAAACTGGAAAATGTAACAAATCGGGGCTTTTTCTTTGTTCATTTGTTTTTGAAAGCCAGCTGTTAAAACATTCACCAGCACATCATTACTAACAATATCATGGAAGGTTTAGAGCAGGTTTAGTACTCTAATAAAATCCTATTTTCAGTGGATATTTTTTATGTTTCCAATGCCAAGTATTGACAACCAAAGAAGAATTTAACAAGCCAACCGACTGTAATAAGGCAATATAAACTACTTTCTTTCTTAAATGACACTATCATATAAACATAATGGGCAGCTGGGCAATGGGGAGGATTGGAAAACTCATCAAAGTGAAAATTAAAACAAAGTAAGTTAACTTATTCCATTCTGCTTCCATTTCTTCATGCAAAATAACATTATAAGAATACTATCATCAAAAGTATAATAAATTATTAATAGGGATAATGATAGTATCAACTCATAAGGTTGTTGATCAAATGAATATACATAAAACTCACAGAACAGTACATATGTGGCAAGTCAGCAGTACTATTTAAGTGTTTGCCATCACTGTCTACTAATTATCTCTCCAAAAAATGAAAAGTTTAGTAACTTTTTTTAATGCAGCAGAAAAAAACAATAATAAGGTGGGGGAAACAAAGAGGACTACAACAAAAAGGATTAAGAAGCAACCCAAAACAACCAATCCAAACTGAAAGAAATATTCATCATAGAAACCTAGCTTCAACTTGAATTTGGAAAAAAAAAAATTACTAAAGCACAGAATTCTAGATTTTGGTCATTTGAACTATCCTGAAAAACTACAGTGTGAAAGAAGATTTCTAAGAAGAAAAAAGATATTTTTTAATAGGTCAGATTGAGTGTTTTTGTAGAATCAGAATCCATACCTGCTGACGACTACTAAGATCCAGCTGCTTCCAAAACTGGAAATCTAAACAAAGGTCACGCCAGTACTTGCACACCAATGACGCAGAAAGGCAACGTTCATCCAGAGATAAATTGGAAAATATCTGTGAATAAAAAAGGAACCACATAATATGTGTTAAACAATTTAAAGTCAATAAAAGTTTTTACAGTTAGAAAAAATTAACCTTTTAAAAAAATGTATCCCTTGTATCAAGGATTGATCACAGCAAGGGAGCTGCTCCGCTATATAGGAAACCCCAAGCACACTGTCTATGAATGGCTGAGCACCAGGTTCCCCACAAATGTGTGCTGTGTGACAGGTGAGAGGGTGGTCATCTTTCCGGCCATGAAAAATTAATTTTTTAAAACAGAAAACCATTTTAGTACAAGTGACCATTATTAAAAGAGTCACTGTTATGGACTGTACTAAAGAGGAAGTATGATATGGGAGTAGCTAAGCTGGAATCAAGATTGCCGGGAGAAATATCAATAACCTCAGATATGCAGATGACACCACCCTGATGGCAGAAAGTGAAGAGGAACTAAAAAGCCTCTTGATGAAAGTGAAAGAGGAGAGTGAAAAAGTTGGCTTAAAGCTCAACATTCAGAAAACTAAGATCATGGCATCTGGTCTCATCACCTCATGGGAAATAGATGGGGAGACAGTGCAAACAGTGTCAAACTTTATTTTTGTGGGCTCCAAAATCACTGCAGATGGTGACTGCAGCCACGAAATTAAAAGACGCTTACTCCTTGGAAGGAAAGTTATGACCAACACGGATAGCATATTAAAGCAGAGACATTACTTTGCCAACAAAGGTCTGTCTGTCTGGTCAAGGCTATGGTTTTTCCAGTGGTCATGTATGGATGTGAGAGTTGGACTGTGAAGAAAGCTGAGTGCCAAAAAATTGATGCTTTTGAACCATGGTGTTGGAGAGGACTCTTGAGAGTCCCTTGGACTGCAAGGAGATCCAACCAGTCCATCCTAAAGGAGATCAGTCCTGGGTGTTCACTGGAAGGACTGATGCTGAAGCTGAAACTCCAGTACTTTGGCCACCTCATGCAAAGAGTTGACTCACTGGAAAAGACCCTGATGCTGGGAAAGAATGAGGGCAGGAGGAGAAGGGGACGACAGAGGATGAGATGGCTGGATGGCACCACCGACTCGATGGACATGAGTTTGAGCCAACTCTGGGAGTTGGTGATGGACAGGTAGGCCTGGCGTGCTGTGATTCATGGGGTCGCAAAGAGTCGGACACAACTGAGCGACTGAACTGAACTAAACTGAACGTCACAACCGAGAGAGAGAAAGAGAGAGAGAAACACTCAATCTACTAAAATCATGGATACAAAAAGACATTATTACCAACCTTACAAAAAAAGAAAGAATTATAACAGGGTATTATGAACAACTGTATGCCAACAAATTAGATAATCTAAACAAAACAAACTTCTAGATATATACAAACTACAAAAAACTGATTCAAGAAGAAATAGAAAATTTCAGTAGACCTATAAAAAGAGAAAATGTTCAATCAGTAATCAAAAACTTCCAAGGAAGAAAGGCCAAGGACCAGACGGCCCTAACAGTGATACATTTAAAGAACAAATACAAATCCTTCTTAAGTGATTCCCAAAACTGGAGTATAAGGGAACTCTTGCTAACTCCATGAGGTTAGCATTGCTCTGATACTAAAGCCAAAGATATCACAAGAAAACTATAGACCAATGTCTCTTATGAATTTAAATGCAAAAAATCCTTAAACAGTCTATTTGGCCCTTGAACAGCGTAGGGATTGGGATGCTGACCCTTCATGCAGTTGAAATCCAAGTGCAACTTCATAGTAGGCCCTCCCTATGTGCAATTCATCACCCACAGATTGAACCAACCAAGGATTACATAGTATCACAGTGTTTACTGTTTAAAAGAAACCTGCATGTAAGAAGACCTGCACAGTTCAAACCCATGTTGTTCAAGAGTCAACTATATCACCAAAGTAAATCAAGCAGCGTATTAAAAGGATCATACACTATGGTCAAGTGGTATTTATCCCAAGAATGCAAAGATGGTTCAACAGGCAAAAATAAATCCATTTAACACACCAAATTAATAGAATAAAGGTTTAAAAAACTCAACCATTTCAATTAATGTAGAAAAAGCATTTGACAAAATCTAATCCCATTTCTTGACAAATATACTCAGGAAACTAGGAATGAAAGGAAACTTCCTTAATGTGATAGACGGCACATGTAGAAATCCTGCCATTATTATTATATTATATTATTATTATATAATAATAATCATAATTATATAATTATAATAATATAATATATATTAAAATATATTATTATATTAAATAATATTAAATTATATTATTATTATACTTAATGGTCAAAGACTGAATATTTTCCCCTGAGATGAGGAACAAGACAAGGATTTCTGCTGTCTCCACTTCTACGCAACACTGTACTAGAGACTCTGGCCAGGGCAGTTACATAAGGAAAAGAATGAAAGGGCATTCAGATTAGAAAATTAAAATGTTCTATAGTCACAATTACCATGATCTTATATAGAAAAATTATACACAAAAAAACTTAGAGCTAATAAGCAACTATTTCTATACACTATCAATGAACAGTTAAGAAATAAAATAAAGAAGGACTTCCCCGGTGGTGCAGTGGATAAGAATCCACCTTCCAATGCAGGAGACACGGGTTTGAACCCTGATCCAGGTAGATTCCACATGCTGAAAAGCAACTAAGCCCGTGCACCACAGCTACTCAACACTCAATCTAGAGCCTGTGCTCTGCAAGAGAAGCCTCCACTCACTGCAACTAGAGACAGCCTGTGCAATCATAATTACATAAATACAATTGTAAAAAAGGAAAGCACTTCTATTTGCAATAGCATCGGAAAATGCTTTTTTAGTTTCCATTTCTTTATGTTGAAACTTTCCATTCTTTGGGTCAATGTTATGTTTTCTTATAATTTGAATGATGTTTCTTTCCATTCTGTTAACATGTTTATAAAAGTTTGAAGTTTTTATCTCCTAATACCTGTGCTTACTCAATTTTTATTAACTGTTTTGTTTCCTCTCAGTATAGGTCACTTTTTTCTGTCTCTTTACATGTCTCATAATTTTTCATTCAAAACCAGTCATTTTAGGTAACATATTGTAGCAACTCTGGAATTTGATTTACTTCTCTGAAATCTGTTTCAACTTTAATCTCCCTGGCCTTAAATGGTAGGATCTGAAGTTTGAATGTTTGTCTGCATGTCTCTGCTCAAGTTTTAATTCTTATTCGTATTTCTTTAGCGTGGCTTCCCTGTCTAAATTTGGGCAAAAAAATGCTCAAATACCTCAAGCCTGCCCTTCAATCTGTGTGTGGGTTGGGAAGAGCATATTCAAGGCTTATTCTCAAGGTTGCTTTGGCCCTTGCTTTCTGCTAGATACTCTCAAGTATCCCCAAGACATGTGCATAGTTTGAGTAAACCAAGGATATGTGAAGAGCTTATTATCCCTTTATGGGTGTCTCATTTCCAAGGTCCACTGGTTAAATTCCTAGCTGATCCCCACCTCATCCCAACTGGAACCACAATATGAAACTTGCAAATATGTGGGTTTTAACCATTTTCTTCCTACAAAGTTCATCACGTTTAGTTGACAGATACAGGCTGTTACTCACTGCCCCTAACTGAGTTACCCTCCTAAGACACCAGCTGCTGGTTGTTGTTATTCAGCCACTAAGTCGTGTCTGACTCTTTGTGACCCAGTGGACTGCAGCACACCAGGCTTCCGTGTCCTTCACTGGGGTTTGCTCCAATTCACATCCACTGACTCAGTGATGCCATCCAACCATCTCATCCGCTGTCATCCCCTTCTCCCCCGCCTTCAATCTTTCCCAGCATCAGGGTCTTTTCCAAAGAGTCGGTTCTTCCCATCAGGTGGCCAAAGTATTGGAGCTGGAGCCTCAGCATCAGTCCCTCCACTGAATAATCAGGACTGATTTCCTTTAGGATTGATTGGTTTGATCTACTGCTATTGGGGTCTCAATTCAAGAGTGGTACAGACTTCCACTATTCTTACCTGAGCTCTAGTAGCTTTCCTAAGGATAAATACATTTCAATTTGTTGTCTGCCTTTGGTCAATTCCCAAAGCCCAAATAGTTGAGAGCAATTCTGCCTAGTTATTTACGTATATACGTATATGGGTATTGATATGTGTGTATATACATATACGACGTGTGTGTGTGTGTGTGTGTGTGTGTGTGTGTACTGTTTGCAGAGACCATCCACCAAACTTTTCATGCAGCCAAAGTTAGAAGTTCCTCTCTGGTAGATTTTTTTTATGCTTGTCCTCCACATTTCATAGACAAAAAAATAAAGATTTAGAGAAACTAGATCATTTGTTGAAGGTTAAAGGACTACCATGATTTTAAAGGGCTAATTTGTCCCTTAGCAAACAGAAGATGTGTGGAATATGGTCACTGGAACCAAGAAACACCTCATTTAAAATATGTGTGTCTTTGGGTAGTACCTTCTTTGGACCTTAATTTGTTCTTTTGTAAAAGTAAGGTGATTGTCACAACAAACAAATAATTGACTAAATCTAGGTAGATTTTACTCAGGTGAAAGGAAATTCAATGAGTGAGTGAAGGGAAGATAACAGCAGTACCAGCAAAGATGGATAAAAGTAAAAAAGCAAAATCGAAGCTGAAACACCAATGCATATTTAACAGATTTCTGCATATGGTTTATTGTAGGCAACCTATAAAATGGACCTCAATGACCCCACCTCCTGGAAGTAACACCTGTGTAAGTCTCTCCTTGGGTGTATAAGCGGGATTTATTGACTCACTTTTAATGAAAAGAGTACGGCAGAAGAGATTGGGTTAAGAAAACTGTGGCTAGTTATTTTGGGTGTTCTGACTCTGCTGCTGCATGTGATCAGCCCTCTGGAGAAGCTCAAGTGGCATGGCAAGGGACTTAAACATCTGGCCAACAGCCAAGCAGGACCTGAGGCCTGCCAACACCCAGGTGAGTAAGCCTGGCTGGAAGCACTCACGCCCCAAGCGGGAAGCCCCAGCGATACCTTGATCATAG